GGCTCTCAACTCTGCAAGTACTCGTGTTACCTAAGTGAATAACTTAGTTCGTCCAAAATGTCACAAATTTGGTATTATGATAAAGCCATATTCTCTCAACATAACTAATCACTGCCGGATAACTTGCCACCGAGCTTTCATTGTATCTACAGCAGCATTATAATCCGCCTCGGTTACAGCATCCATGATACGTTTTTATTTGCCGTTTTTGAAACTCGCACCGATCCTTTTGTTTTTGAACATATCAGTGACTCGAGCCTCCACATCTTTGTTAATGTGCCATCAACAAAGTAAATGCGAAGTCCTTGGAAACACTTCTCTCAATGCCGCACAGAGGCCAAGCTCACGGTCTGTCAAAAATACCGAAGGTTCCTTATCATACCCAATCAACTCTCTTAATCTCTGCAAAACCCACCAATAGCTTGCCGTGCACTCGTTGTGCATGAACACATAACCGACGAGGAAATTCTGATTTGTCGGTGTCACACCAGCTATCTCAAAGAACGGCATCCCGTATCGGTTGGTCTTGTAAGTCGAATCCATACCGATCACATGTGGGTAAGTGCGTAGTATGTTTACCGTGATTGGGTGCACCATAAACGCATGCTGTAGAACGCCGAGATCATCAGACATGACCCAGTAAATATACTGACTTTGTCTCGCCAAATGAAGAAATTGCTGAACAACTCCTCTCCCATCAGACATCTCCGTTCTCAAGTCATTTCGGCAATTGTAAATATGTCTAATGTTTGGATGATCATCAGGAAATTGCTCTGCAATAGTCGCCATGATGTTACGCGGTGCAACCTTGGACTTTGTCATGTCACGCACAACCTTCTTCGCATCCGGGCTCAAGCCACTAATTTTACGATGACCTTCCTGATACACAATCATTGAATGGTTATGAGTCCCAGTTGCATCATTTTTTGCCCAGATCTTCCAACTATCGGTGATGAACTCATAATATATCTTGATGTAGAAAGGACAACCATTAGCTTTGGTTTTTGTGTCCTTCCGAATTGCGTTCTCAAGATCTCTCGGCTTGCTCTTTCGTCCCCAATCACACCTCAAATATCGATACGGTCGACCATCTCTGGTTTTGTTGTAAGACGATTTAACCAAAATAAATCCAAGATTTATGGCAACAACATCCGCCCATTTAACTGCATCATCAAACGTCGGAAAAAACGTGTCTATGGAAATAAAATAAAAATAATAATAATAATAATAATAATAAAAATAATAATAATAATAATAATAATAATAATAATAATAACAAGAATAATAATAATACTAATAATCAATTACATACAAAATAAAAAAAAAATTCTGAAAAGGGTACTTCCGCCCAGAACATCCGAATCTTCCATGGAGAATCCGCCTAAGATTTTCGGATCTTCCATGGCGGATCCGAAAAACTTAGGCGGATCCTCCATGGGGGATCCGGATTTTCTGGGCGAAAGTCCTCTTTTCATAAAAAAAAAATTTCTACGATTTACAGATTCTTTCGACGATGCCTCTAGTGTACGATCGTTGTCGTCGTTCATCGTCCAAAACCCGTCGCTAAAGCTTCATAATTTTTTTTTCTTAAAAATTACATTTTTGGTGATGGGCTCGGGAATTTTTAAAAGTAAGTGGTGGGTCAAAGTGATCGGGAATCTTTTCAAAATGCTCGGGAATCTTTGTGACAAAGCGGTGGAGCCTTATATAGCCCAAATTAAGAAAAGGACAAAAGAGTCACTTCATATTAAAATGAAAGCGACGCATGGTAAATTGGGAGCGACGAATAGCAGTTCACTAAAAAAGACACGATTTATTTTTTAACACTATATAATAAAAAAAAAAAAAAAATAACACCTCACAAAAAAATTACTATATAGATTTCACCACTATTTATTGAATTCATGGACACATTCGTTAATAGGGCTTATCTTCATTCGTTTTCTCTTCCTTCTCCACAATTTTCCCTCTCATCACTTCCCTTAACCTCCATTTTCATCTCATTGGTTTAATATTCTCGTTGAAGTACTTCTCATCTTTAACAAATTCAAGAAACTCCAATTTCCCATTTTCTCTCTCCTCCTATTTCTTTTCTTTATTTCTTTTGCTCTTCTTCAAAAAAACATATCAATGATTATGGAGTTTGTTAACGAATTGAATACGGCTTATTCTAGAATATTGACATTTTAATTAAGCATATGGTAAGATTAACTTGCTTTTATTATTCACCATTAAAAATCCACAATTTCAACTAATTAAGCATGAACACTAATTCCCTCTCTTCTCCTATATCTCTTCCCTCGGTTTCTACGTACCGCCAAAAAACCGGGCCACCATCTGTAGGCAGTCACCAGCGGCGACGACCATTAGCAGCAGTGACGCCAAACGGGCTTCTCCTTCCCCTGTGTGTGCGTGGGGTTTGTATGAAGAAAAAAATGGTGGGCCCCATAAACGAATTAATGGACCGAATATATTAAGTGGGGATGAATTTTTTTGGGGGGCATTAAAGTAATTTTATTAATTGTGTTAGAAAAAATCAAGTCTTTTTTATGGTGTTAAAAGTGAAGCTTCCTAGAATTATAGCAAAAAAATATAATTCCTTCGTGTTTTAATTTACAACACACTTTTCACGGTATTTAAAAAAAGTGGGTCTTACATGACTTAACAAACTTAAAATGGAGTTCAGAGATTTTTAGGAGTATAATTAAGTGGGTCAAGAGGTTTAAATAAGGGTAATAATACAACTTTCGCCAAAAATAAAATTTAAGATTATAGTGTGTTGCAAGTATGGTGACATTTTCATATTAGGGAAGTGTTATAAGTATTTAAAAACGAAGAAAAGTACAAAAGAACATTAAGTGAGTTTAAAAATTACATATAAAAGAATTTGAAAGATCAAAACCCAGAAAAATAACAAAAAAAAAAATGATGATTGAATTCAAAAGAACATATATTAAGAAAAAAAATAAGATTTATAAAAGACACGAACGGAATTCAAAAGAACATAAATCGAGAAATATAACAAAAGAACAAAAAAGCATTCATGTAAGCATTTGTTTATCTATTTATTTATTTTTGACATGAGAAAACTAAGATTAATCGTTACAAAAAGCTGTAAAATTAGTTCTATAGTCATTAGCAAGCTTGTGAGCTAGTAAGACTTGATCCCTCCCTACTTTCCACATTGTACACCTTTGGAAAGTACATCCTATTCTTCTGATTTCCTTTAGCGTCCAAAAGAGCTCCACCTCCTTATGTGTTGTTACCTGTAGTCTTTGCACTGGAGTTAAAGAGTAGGTGTAAATCCTTATTGAGGCATAGTTCTTTTCCCTTGCCCAAAGCATAGCCCGAAGGCAAGCTTGAAATTCAGCATGTAATGCTGAACTAGCTTTAAAATAAGCTCCTCCCCCATCCTCATAGGTGCTTCCATCTGTGGTAATAACCCATCCAATCCCCGCTCTACCTATATGCTTCTACCACGACCCATCAATCTCGAGCAGCACCTCTTGCCCTAAGTAAGAACTCATGTTCATCTATTTTTAAATGTGCAACTATAATGCATGGTTATGAAGCTATACCCCAAAAGATCATTAATGGAGAAGGGGAAAAAGGGCAAAGGGAAGAAATCTTCTAATTCTAAATCAAAGAAGAAGAGCAAATCGAAACCGAATACTAGGCAGAATGCGAAAATTCAGGATATGGGTTCGAAGGCTGAGATATGTTCGGAGGAGAGTTGGCTTACGATTGAGGGTATGGATGAGAGGGAAGTGAATCAAGTTTCTGAGGAAGAAAAGCAACTTCATAAGAGTCAATTTGATCAGTGGTTAAATGTAATTGCTCGAGGGACGCCATTGTTGAAGGATTGCGAAGAATTGGAGGATGGTGAAATCTCGCCGATTGCATCAAGGTATGAAAATCCTACCCCCCTAGTGATGATTGATAACTCAAATAGGTTGATTGATAATGATAATCTTGCTGGTAATTTGGAATTCAATGATGTCCAGAGCCCTAATAAAGAACACCCTGTTTTTGCTTCCCCAAATTCTACAATTCTTGGGGGTAATAATGGCCGTAAGTGGAGTGATATGTTTATGGGTAATAGGGATAAGGGGCTAGATTTGTCTTGTCAAAGAGAAAAGATGGTTGAATCAGGGAATGTGAATGACAATGGAGGTAAAAGAGTTAGAATAACATTGGAGGATGTCGAACCTGAAATCTCTTTCTGGAAGTCAGCTGTTGTTTGTTATGTTCTAGGCCTAAACTTACCTCTTCGAATCTTGAATGGTTTTGTGCGAAGATCATGGGGTAGATTTGGGATTGATAGAGTTTCAGCTATGGAGAATGGGATATTTCTGGTGCGATGTAGGTCTACTGAAGGCAGAGATAAGGCCTTAATGGCGGGACCCGTTTTCTTTGACAGGAAGCCATTGATTGTAAAGAAATGGGAACCAAGAATCAATCTTAGGAAGGAGGATATTCATGAAGTGCCTGTTTGGGTGAGAATGCCAGGACTAAATTTGAATTTCTGGGGAAGATCATCTCTGATGAAGTTAGCTAGAATTCTGGGGAAACCAACTAAAACTGATAGAGCCACAGCAACAAAAGAATTAATTAGTTATGCTCGGATTATAATTGAAGTGAATGTAAAAGATAAATTGGTAGAAGAGATTGAATTTTTGGATGAGAATGGAGATGTGATAACTCAGAGAATTGTCTATGAATGGAAGCCGATTCAATGTTCTGTGTGTACTGGTATGGGGCATTCAGGGGATCAATGTCCTATTGATAAAGTCCAGGCTAATAGGAGAAAGGATAGGACTGATAAGATAAATCAAAGGGGAGAGAAAGTATGGAGGCCTGTTCAGAGGAATCCATAAGGGAGTGATGCTCAGAGGAAACCAGAAGGAAATGGGGATCATAGGAATCCAGGTGGGAGTGGTGCTAAGTTGTCTCCTACTGTTTTCACAGGGAATAGGTTCAGTAGTCTTGAGAAGGAGGATATGGAGGTGCCAGATTCAGAAGAGAGAAATGGAGAGGATTCATGGAGTGCTGGTGGTAATAATAAGGCTCTGATCACTAGCGGACAGGTGTTGTATAGAAGATTGGGAGGGGGCAGTGCTTATCTTCTATCCATGGATAAGATAGGTTTCTGGAATGTTAGGGGCATGAACAAGTCTGGTAAGTTGTGTGATGTTTTATGGATTTTAAGACACCATAATATGGGTTTGTTTGGCCTCTTGGAAACGAAGGTAAAAGTGAAAATTTTTGGTAAAGTGTTTGAGAATTTTGGGAGGGAGTGGTCAGTTATTACTAACCATCCTGTTAGTAATTCTAGTAGAGTGTGGATTGTTTGGCTTCCTAGTATTTTCACTATTTCTAGCTGCAAAGTTGATGTCCAATTTGTTCATGTGTGTGTGACTCATAATGCGTTGAGGAGGAAATTTTGGTTGACAATGGTTTATGGTTTGAATACTGCAAAAGAAAGGGAGGTTTTGTAGAAACAGATTGCACAGATTGCTCCTCCTGCTGGTGATTCTTGGATTTTATGTGGAGACTTTAATAATATTCTTAATCTTGAGGATAGGATTGGTTCTCAGTGTACTTTGAAGGAAGTAGAGCGTTTAGGCACTGTTTGAGGAGCAATAATCTCACTGATTTCAATGTGGGTGGTATGTTCTACACCTGGACAAATAAACAAGAAGGAGAGGATAGAGTATGTTCGAAAATAGACAGGGTTATTGTGAATAATGGTTGGCTAAATAATTTTCCTAGTTTTGCTGCTGAGTTTCTCCCTGAGGGTCTTATGAACCATTCTCCATGCTGCATGAGATTAGATAGTCAAGCTGGGAATGTTAAGAAACCTTTCAGGTTTTTCAATATGTGGACAGAAGCTCCAAATTTCTTAGCCATTGTTGAAGATGTGTGGGATATGCCTATTTAGGGTACTGCTATGTTTAGGGTTGTCAAAAAATTGAAGGTTGTTAAACAAAAGTTGAGAGTGTTGAATCTAACTCATTTTTCTTGCATAGAGGGTGCTGATATTGCTGCAGGGAAGCTCTTGTCTGAAATTTAGCAGAAGCTTAATTCTGACCCTACAAGTGTTGATTTGAGGAAGAAGGAGCATGAAGCAAGACTGGCTTACAACGAGGCTCATATAGCTAGATTTCTGTTCCTTAAACAGAAGGCAAAGGCTCACTGGATGAAGGAGGGTGATGTCAACTCTAGCTATTTTCATGCCTGTATTAGACAAAGAAGAATTGAGAACAGGATTTGTAGCATTCAAGATCAGAATGGGAAGCTTGTTAATGACCCTAATGAGATAGCAGAATCATTTATCTCCTATTATAAAGGATTGCTGGGTACTGATGCAGGTGAAGCTAGACAGATTCATCAATCTGTTATTCAGGAGGGTCCTGTTCTATCTGAGACTCAAAGGAACAGTATCTGTAGGCCTTTCACAGAAGATGATGTTAGAGGAGCTGTTTGGTGCATTGATGAGGATAAATCACCTGGTCCAAATGGGTATACTAGTAAATTCTTCAAGAGATCCTGGGAAATTGTAAAAGGGGATGTTTGTCAGGCTGTCTTATCTTTTTTTTATCATGGCAAGCTGCTCAAACAGGTCAATACTACTTCCTTGACTTTGATTCCTAAGGTTGCAAATGTTGTTGCTGTGACTTAATTTCGTCCTATTGCTTGTTGTAATGTGCTTTATAAAATTCTGTCTAAAATGATCTGTTCTAGACTTAAGGAGGTGTTGCCTTGTATCATCAGTGAGGAGCAGGGGGCTTTTGTCTCTGGTAGAGCTATTCTTATGAAGGATTATAAGAATAAGAGAAAGCCTCCTAGATGCACTATTAAGGTTGATATCAGGAAAGCTTATGATACTATTAAATGGCCTTTTATTAAGAGAATGCTGACTGCTCTTGGTTTTCCTAGTGTGCTTGTGAAGTGGATTATGGCCTGTGTTTCTTCTCCTACTTTCTCTCTCATGATAAATGGTGGTAGCCATGGTTTTTTCAAGGGAGCCAGGGGTATTAGACAAGGAGACCCCATTTCTCCTTTACTGTTTGTGGTGTGTATGGAGTACCTTACTCGGTTGCTGAAGAAAGTTGGACAGAAATCAAGGTTCAGATACCACTATAGATGTAGGTCTCTGAAACTCAATCATTTTTTTTCTTCACTATTGAATTCGAATTTTTTGTAATTATCAAATTTTCGATTCTCTTTGATGCTCGCACTCTCTGTCTTCCCAAAATTCGCAAAATCTCTATAAAAAATTAAATTTTCGTCTACTTATAATAAGCAAGATTGCTAGAATCAAATCAAATTAAAATATGAATTCACTAGTGGAAAAATTGCTATTAGCAGCACCCTATTAGCAACTAGCGTTATATATGTTAGCTACTAAAATACTAATTGTAACTGGCTAAAATAATATCAGTTACAAATACTATGTTATTAGCAACTGGCATAATAATGAGCGCTGCTAATACTTAGAGTGTAAAAGTAAAAATTTATATCAGCAACTGGCCTATGTGATGCCAGTTGCAAATACTATAACATTTGCAACTGAAATAACAATGCCCGCTACTAATATTAATTATTTTTAAAATATATTATTTATTCGCAACTGGTCATTTATATGTCCGCTACAAATACTAGGTCAACTAAATTTTCACCAAATTATTTGTAACTGACCTTGAAAGGCCAGCTGCTTAAACAATAAAATAAAGTATAATTGTGACCCACTCGCATAACCCATCTTAACCCTTCTCTCTCATCTCAAAATCAAAAACCCCACTGAACTCCACTCAGCCGTCCTCCATGGTTGCTGAACTTCAGTTAGCCCTCACCTCCATTGTCGCTGAACTTAATCAGCCCTCTCTTTCATTTTTGAACTTCAGTTAGCCCTCACCTCCATTGTCGCTGAACTTAATCAGCCCTCTCTTTCATTTTTGAACTTCAGTTAGCCCTCACCTCCATTGTCGCTGAACTTAATCAGCCCTCTCTTTCATTTTTGCTCAAGAATAAAGAAGAACTAAACCCTAATTTGTTTTGCACTTCGTTGAAGTAGGACGAAACCCTAATTTCATGCTACACTAGATCGAAATCGTCCTCTTAATCCTCTCCTCTCCGTCGAAGCCGACCAAGTCGTACTCTGAATTCTCCATTGAAGCGGCTTATGAGATTTCTGTTCTTCACTGAATCAGCTTCTTAGGTCAATTGTTGAATACGTAGTGTGAGTACATAGATAGTGGTGGTAGGCGCGTCAGCCAAGTCGTCAGACTGAACCTTCAATTCGACAATTAAAGGTATTTTTTGATTTTTTTTTTTTTTTTCTGGAATTTGGTTGTTTGGAGTTCCTTCAATTCGACAGATTTAATGATCTTAGACTTTGATTTGTGCTCTTAAACTTCTCTCTCGTGATCTTCCTCGTTCTCCTGAAGTTTTCGCCTCGGTTTCTTCTATCTATCGTGGCAACGATGGTGATGTTGATGAGGCTGTTTCGCCTTCCAGTGATTCTCAATTGGGTGATTTTTCCCCTAAATCGAATAAAGTGAGAATTTTTTTGATTTATTGTTTTGGATTTTTAATGGGTTTTGTTTGAATTTTGATTTTGTGGTGAATTTGGGGTGTTTTGGTTTTTTGATTTTGTTGGAATTTTTTAATTTTTTTTTTCTTGCTGATTAGATTGTTTAGGTGATTGTTCTTTAATTTTTTGGGTTTTCTTTGATGGGTTTTGTTCAATCTGTGATTTTGAGTTGAATTTGGGCTGTTCAAGTTTTGAATTTTTCAGAATATGGTTTCTTTGCTTCTATTGGAATTACTGATATTTGCTTGACTGAATTGCTTAGTTGATATCCTTTTGGGATTTGTTAATTTCTGATAATTCTTTATTTATGGTATTTAATTGGATTTTTGGGTGATTTTGTAGGACATTGTTCTCATTAAGCTATCTAAGCTTTTTGTTGTGTTCTTGATGTTTTATTGATTTGATTGTTAAAATTGGGTTACAGGACGCATCTTGTATATCTAGTTATGGGGATTTTATTATGGAATTTGAGGATGCTGTGGTTAAGCAACGGCCAAAATGCATTCCAGTAGCGCTCTGACAGAATTGAATGAGAGCCATTTCCAGTGTTGGGTCGAGTATTGTTTGACTGAACTTGAAGGTTGGTATATTTTATCATACTTTGTGTCAGTGTTAGGTTATGACTTGTTATTGGTAATTGCGATTTGTGTTTAATGTTTCACATTGTTTAAACAAATCATTTTGTATAGTATACCAGTGCAGTTGATCTGTATGAAATTTGGTTGGGTAGAGAACCTAGTGGAAGAGCTGTTATGGAGTGTAAATCAATCAATTTGACTAGCTAAGCATTTTCCAGTGAGACCTCTATATGACTAGTATATGTCACGCATCATTAATTGAATGCACTTTCAAGACTTAATTCTGTACTGCATATTATATGCTAGCTTAGGCTTTCAGTAGCTGTGCTGGATACTGATCATTGAGTAGTCTTGGACAGTTGTCATTCCAAGCTCTCACACCCTTAATCCCTTTCCCTTCCTAAAATTATTATTGACTTCTCTGACATGTATCGATTTGTTTTCACAGATGGCTCCGTCTTAGAACTTTATGTACTGGTCTGTATTAAAAGGCTAGAAGTTAAAGAGCAGAACCCATATAAATTCAACCCTGTCATGAAAGGTACACATTAATGATCCACAAGTTGCATTTTGTTTTAAAATTTCCATGTACTTACTGTAGGTTATGTGGCAGAATACAAAGCTACACATGATTCATTCCAGACTCCTGACTATTATGCACGGAATGTCTGCTTATGGGTGAGCATGGTTTAGCTTTTTTTAAAAAAAATTACTTGCAAATCAACCTTGTGATTTTCTTGGGTTACTTGATATATTTAAAGTTCATGGTTTTGTTTGTGTTGTAGGCAATTGGTTGTATGTTGATAATTTCCATATTATTGCATAATTAATGAGATATAGTTGGCTGGATATTGTTTGTTGCGTGTATTTTTAACTGGTATGATGGATGTATGATCAATTATAGATATTCAATGCTTATATTTTGTCTGAATTGAAGCAGAGTTAGTGAACATTGTGCTTCTGTTATCAAAAGCTACATGTTTGTTGGTACATAAATCTACTTTGTTATCAAAAACTACATAAATCTATTTTGTTATCAAAAACTACATAAATCTACTTTGTTGGTAAAAAGTTGTTGCAAACATTGTGCTTCTTTCTGGTAATTGCCAGTGGCATTATCGATTCTTACATGTTGTTCATGTGCTTGGCTTTATACTCCAATCTGAAATGTTATATGCTTTGCCTTGTGAAGGCCCTTATTTATCATGAAGCTGAACAGTGTTCTGGTTTATTTCCTCCTTTGTCATGAAGCTGAACCTTTTGTTCTGCTCAACTCTTGCCATAAGTGTATGGGCTTCAATGTTTTAAATCAATTATTTGGGTGGTTCAATCTGAAAAATTAAATGGGAGATTTTTTTTTGGATGTCATTATTTACATCTCAATCAGTTTTATTTTGATTCATTTTGGCAGTTGGACAAGTTCATTCCCAACAGATCAGCTATGGATTTCGATTATGCCCACTACACGCTGCATTTCTCTTCTTCGTGCTGCTGCTGTTCTGCTTCTGTGCTGCTGTTCTGCTTCTGTGCTACTGTTCTGCTACTTCATTATTTTCTGCTCAACTCTTGCCATAAGTGTATGGGCTTTGGAGAGCAGTGAAGCACCCTTGGCTCCAGCTATTGAGATTAGTGAGACTCTAGAGCAAGAAGAAGCCAGTGAAGGTCGTTTTACTAAAAAATGTCAAATGAGATACATTGGCTTAATGTGTTAGCTTTCTATATTCATCTCTAATATAACCTTCTAATTTTTCAAACAATTTGTTATTAATGTATACTATAAAATTAACATAATTTTTTTTGTTATACTAGTAACTGCTGATATATTTTGTAGATCAATCTAGTTAAAAAAATTGCATTTTTTTTTTTTTTTTTAAAAAAAGAGACTATTTGCAATTGGCCTAATTATATGCCAGCTGCATTAAGTAGTATTAGCAGCGGGCCTAATACTAGGCCAGTTGCGAATAATACCTCTTTTAAGTTTAAAAAAAGACTATTCGCAACTGGTCTAGTATTAAGTCCGTTGCCAATATTACTTATTTGTAGCGGGCCTAACACTTGGCCAGTTGCGAATAATACCTCTTTTAAGTTTAAAAAAGACTATTCGCAACTGGTCTAGTATTAAGTCCGTTGCCAATATTACTTATTTGTAGCGGGCCTAACACTTGGCCAGTTGCGAATAATACCTATTGATGTTATAAAAAAGGACTATTTACAACTGGTGTATTTATACGCCAGTTGCGAATAATGACTATTAGCAGCGAAAAAGTGCCAGTTGCAAATACTATCACCATTTGTAGCCCCCGCAATAGCAACTCCACGCGCCAGTTGCTAAAAGCCATTTTTTGCCAGTTGCTCCACTAGTGATTAAAGTGCACGGTGAGCATTGTGCACTCGCCTATACGATCTAGTTTGTGTAATTAAGTACCTTATTTCAAATCAATTCAGAATATATAAACCTATGGAAATAGACTCGATATAAGTAAAGGAAATGAACGGGTTAGGGGAGGGACACTCCGACTCGATCTAGTAGACTTGAAAAGTGTTTGAAACTACTTGATAAGGGCTAGGAGCCCAAATTAATTGGAATCTAAGAGGTTTGATGAAGCTCTTCTTGAAATATTAACATGATTTGTTTCTCTCGATTTTTCTATGAAAAACATGGATTTTGCTTAGATTTTAAATAGACCTGATCAAAATTGGCCTGTCCTACTGACCTGCCTCAAGTTTTGGCCAGGTTTGGGCATCAAAAGTGGGCTCAAAAGTCGGGTTTGGGCAAAGAAACTTTGGGTTGATTATTTTTGGGCGGGTTGAAGCAGCAGGATTGGCTCGCGGGCTGTTCGACCCGGCCCAAAAATGACAGGTGGTGAAAAAAAAATAGTAAAACTCTCATAGACATCATAGAGTGAATAAAATAAAGAAAATAAAAGACTAACCTTAACCTTTCATTTCCTTTTCCATAACCGTCCTTCCCTTGAATTTCTTCCTCTACCTCCTCTAACTCACCTTTTCGTTTCTCTTTCTCTTAATTCCGTTTCTTTAATCTCCTACATTATTAAAAGTGGATCTTTATCAAAAATTTGTAAATTTTTTATTATATTAAGTTTTATTAAAAAAAACTTTCGAATATGATTATACACTGTATTTTATTTATTTCGAGTGATGTGATGTTTTTTCTTTAAGAGTGTAATACTATATATATATATACATAGTATTTTAAATTTTGAGTTACATACTTTTTTTATTTAATTTTTGAATCAATTTTTTTTTAATTTTTTAATTTTTTTTTTTATTTTAAAAAAAGCAAATCAGATTTTTTAATTCACTGCATATTAGCAAATAAAAAAAGAATCTCTTTTTCTTTGAGAGAGTTACTTATATGGAGATTGACTATCTTCAACTGCTGCAAAGTTCCTAAAAGGTATTATGCTTTATATCTTGTATTTTTTTTAATGGCCAAATGATATGCTATATATTCGATTTCTACATTCAAATTTTTTTTGGGTTTTAGAGTACATAATGAGATAATGCTGTATTTTTTATTTTATACACAAAATGTTTTTTTTTAATTTATTCGGTTCAGTGCCATTTTGGAAATATTATGTTTGATTTTTCGATTTTATTTTTTAATGATACCATACTTGTTGTTGCTTATTAAATTTGAATTGCTTATTTTTTGTAAACGATTTAGTTTCATGCAATATTAAAATTTAAATTATTGCCATAAACTAGTATCGGGTGAAGTATATTAAAATAAAAAAAAAAATTTGACTTTACAACAAGCAGGACTGAATGGCCCGAACACAATCGAATGGGACGGGTTTGGGCATCAAGTTTCGGCCTGTTGCTTGGCCTGGCCTGACTCGACTATATTGGCAGGGAAAAAAGGCATGACCCAGCCCGACGATTTGATCAGGTCTAATTAATTTTAAGAAACATTTTGAAATAGAATGGAGTAGATTATAAGTGGGAGATGGACTAAGACTTGGACCAAGTGACATGTGGACTAGTGTGACACGAACTTAAGTGGACATTGAATTGGACTAGCAATACACATGCTTAGACTTTGAGTGACACTGGACTTGGATTTTACTTGAGTGACTTGAAATTTGATAGTAAAGTTGGGCCTTGACTTCGAATTAGACTTAGAAAACTTTGAACTTGGACTTTGACAAGAGTTAGCGGGCCTAAGACCTAGGATTGGACTAACGTTGGATTGAGCCTTTTTTATTTATAAAAGGGCTTGACTTGTTGGGCTTAGAACTTTACAAGACTCGAATTAAAGTTGGACTATACCTTGGTAAGACTTGCAGTTTAACAACGATTAGATCGAAATCGCAAGTCTTGAGGTTAGATGACTTAACTTGAAGGTTAGACCATGGTTTGACTCAAAGTTAGACTATATTGGTCTTAACTCGAGAGTTGTACCGTGGTTTGATGTGGCTTAATCACAAAATGACTTGGGTTTTAAAATTGACATGACATAAGAAAGATAGTGTAGAGTAGATAGGACAGAAAAATAAAAAGGATAATAAATAAATATTGTATAGGAAGATGAGATAAACTATCACTAAGATATGACCATAAGAATAGGATACATATTTTGAAACCCTAGTTTATATGAGTTTGACATGGATTAGAATCCAAAAAGAGTTGAAGAATCTAGTATAATATGATTTAGATCTAGTCAAATTTGACATGAAAGGATATAAAAGTACATTTTAAATTGAATTTCTAAACTAGACATTTTGTCATATTTTGGTCGTAACCTTTTATATATGACTCTGATTGGGACGGAATCAACGCCAACTGAAAGTTAAAATCTAGGGCTATAGATAAATCCATAGATGCCATGACACGTAATTCTTTCTAGAACTTGGAATATGATAGTTACAAGATGAAGCATGTGCAGACTACGAGGATAGAAATTCAAGTTGAATTAGACTTAGGCGAAGGACTCTTAAGGCTCGACTCTACCGTGTTAGGATAGTTAGACAAGTAAAAAAAATACAAATAAAAAATATAAAAAAATAATGCTCATATGCATGATGCACATGAATTTTGCAACCTAAAGGCCTAGCTTAGGTTTGGATCTATGTTCATAGTATGGTCAGGCTTTAAAGGGTCTATAGTTAAAAGATTGATGTGTAGCAATGCGGTCTCGCATTTTGAGGGCAATCACATACAAACATCTTTGTGACTTTGTGCTTAGGGGCCAGTCCATATCAGCGCATAGCGCCTATGGGTTAAGAAAGCAAATAGGAGGGTAGTAGTGTAATTTACCAAGCTTAAGAAATGCAAAAGTAAAAGGATGACTTTCTATATCCCGTTATAATTTAAAATGTAACGGTGCCTCGTTTTTTGAATATGAAAAGGTTATTTTTCATAAACCTAATTTATACATTTTTCACTTTATCAAAAGCGCATTCTCTCTCCTTGTTTTTTCTTTTTCTCTCCTCCCTATAGTCCTGTACTCTATTCCAACGAAGAGACTATGACGGTGGTTGCTGCCGGAGCTAGAAAAGAATTTTGGTGCGTGGTAATCGTGAGCAGTTGCGTGAATAGTATACCGGCAGTCGCTGGTTCCTTTGATTGAAGGTATGGGCTCGAAACCGACTGTAACAATTTTGCTTAATACGCATTTGTTGGTTATTAAGAAATTTAGAAAGCAATTGTTGTCTTTGATAATGTTGGTTGTTGGTATAATGTATTAGGTTATGTAATTTAGGGTTATCGACTGAAATTAGCGAATTAGGGCTTCCACCTAATTCATTAAGATGAGATGAGATTATTAATGAAGATGAGATGAGTTTATTACTAGGTGTTTATATGAATTTGCGTGAGAAATTTTGTTTTGTTGATGATTAAATTAGCGAATTAGGATTTCCTTTGTTGATGATGATATATAATTGGAATGAATTTAATTGGTAGTGTTTTCAAAACCCGTAATTGTTAAGATGTATGACGATTGTTGGAGTTGTTGTTGGATTTACATTATGAATAAGTGAAATTGATTTCATATTTTGGTAGTAGTATTGATTATGAAAGTATGATTGTTTGTAATGTTTTTGGGTTTGTGAATAAAGTGTATTTTAGGAGTGAAAATTTTATATGTGAACCTAAACCAAACAAAGATGGTTACCAGGATCTCCTGATCAAGTAATTGCATGAGAAAGTTGAAAAAGGGAAGCACAAGCAAGGTACTGGTGCTGAGAAACAGACAACAAAGAGGGCCAAGCAAAAGGTATGGGCATGTTAGATGATAATGATTACACGGTTTTGATTGTAATGTTTGAATGGATTAATTACATGTATAATGTTTTGTGTAGGTCGACAAGAGGAAGGGAGAAGAGGTGAAGAAGAAAGGGGTTGTCGTTAAAACGCAAATAAGAAATACGCAAAAGGTACTCTCTTAACCTTGGTTGTATTTTGACATGGAAATGCTTGTATGTGGTTGGTCCTTTGATTAAGTAGGTGGGAACATGTATTGAATAATAAATGCATGTAAAACTGTGGATAGTTTTTTACAATAGATTTATTGTTAATTATAGTTGAGTTATAAGTTTAGTATTCACAAGCTAAGATTGACATAAAATATTGTGAAAGATTAAAATTCATCACAAAATATTGACAAGTAACTGTTATGGGAATGTATTAGTATTGTTTGTTTAGCTGGTTTGTTTAGATAATGAAGTAACAAAGTCATGAACGTGTTGAAAATGTAATTGGAAATTACAGGTGAGTTAAGTAGTTGTAACAGATTGTATGTATTTTCGATAATATGTTAAGTAAATGTAAAGGGAATGTTGTTTAGGGTAAAAATACCCTAGCCA